ATTAAAGGTATTTGTATGGTCTCTCTCCAGGCGTTTATTTTTGATTCCATTCCACTTAGCCACACGCACGCGCAAAGTGGTTCTACATTATAATCCCGCTGTTACACACGCGTACACTCCTACGCGAGTTTTTTTGTGTGTGTCACGCTTATATTGGATCATAATGTACATGTGTATCTACGCACAGGCGCGCCCGCGCTCATATTTTACTGGCACTTCATGAAAACCGGCGTTAAGCAAGAAACACATATTAGATGGCACAGTATGAAATTACTACTAACTTTTGATATGACAAGTCACTTGACAAACACTGATTAGCATGCGGCCCCTATGCTCCTGGTGCCCCCAAACAAGTGCGCAGCGGGTCCAGGTGTTAAGGCTGACTTTACTCTGTGCATGCCCCGCCCGTTTGTAAGGTGGGCTTACTTTAACTTAGGCAATGCCGTGTTATCTTCTGGCAAGAAAATGCGGGGGGGGGGGGGAATAATAAACAAGCATAGATAACATTAAAGGGGTGGGTGGATAAACCGACTGATTGGGAGATGTTTTGATGGATGGATACACAGATAGATAGATATACGGATAGATAGATAGATAGATAGATAGATAGATAGATAGATAGATAGATAGATAGATAGATAGATAGATAGATAGATAGATAGATAGATAGATAGATAGATAGATAGATAGATAGATAGATAGATAGATAGATAGATAGATAGATAGATAGATAGATAGATAGATAGATAGATAGATAGATAGATAGATAGATAGATAGATAGATAGATAGATAGATAGATAGATAGATAGATAGATAGATAGATAGATAGATAGATAGATAGATAGATAGATAGATAGATAGATAGATGGATGGATGGATGGATGGATGGATGTAGACAAATAAACAACAGACAGATATGTAGGAAGGGAGAAAAACAGAAAGGTGGATTGGCATGATATAGTTCTTTAGAAAAATTGTGTTCTTATCCTTCCCAACCCCACCTCCTCCGCCGTTGTTAATGAACCCTAACCCTGTTCAACATTATGTTACGGTTATCTATCATGGGGACTGTTCCGTAGGGTTTCATTCTCATCGCCTGTGTGGGAATTTGATGATCTTCCCCTACGCTGGGACTATGTTGCTTGCCGTCTGCTGTCTAGGGGCTGTGATCTTCAAGAGGACAACCTCTTTCTCACATGGAAAATATATTGTGTAGAATATTCTTCATCCAGTGTTCAGACGTGATTTTCTTTGCGAACATACTCACAGTAGGTATTACCAGAATTGTACTTTTAAGAAAACTTCCAATTGGTAAGTAACGGACCCTTTTTTAACACCACGCATCAGGTATATGATGTCAGACTCATATACTTACAGATCAGCAGACATTGAAAAAGGGGGGCGGGGGGGGGGGGGGGCGTTGATTAACCTCACGCCGGTTGCCTTTTCTTTCCAGGAAATATCTGAAATCCATTGTAGGCTGGGTCGATCAGGCGAAATCAGTTTTGAAAAAGAAATCCGCCTGGATGTGGATTCGAACCCAAGGCCTTTGGCCGGCAGGCGAGCGTCTTAACACTAAACTAGCCCCAGTCCTGTCCACTCCGCCTTTCTCGTACTATGTAAGCAAGCGCGCTTATCTGTTAACAGGTTCCCTGTAGGTCTCCTGCTGAACTTGAACATGACAATTCGACGTAATGACAATCAGCAATTTACCGAATCAATACCGCGCTATTTAAAAAAAAAAAACGTGCACAGAATAATGCTTACGACAGTGGGGATCTAATCCGGCAGCCCAACATGTTCTGGGGAGAAATCGTGCGCGCACAATAATTTAGCCACTATTATAAACCTCTGAGGTGCACTCGCCCGTGAGACTTAATAGACACGCAAAGCGCAGTAGCTTCTCCGCTGTAAACATTAATGTTAAGCCTCCTCCACCAGTTTTGAATTTGTATTCTTGTGTGTTCTATAAACGGCTTCGATTGACACTGCCAGACTTGTTTCTGGTCTTCTATTCTGTTCTGTTGTAAATGGGCAGTCTTGGCTTTAAGTCTGCCTTTAACTTAGAAGAGATTGTGTGGAGTTCTTGGGTTAGTTATGGCCTGAACTATTTTTTTGTGTGTGTCGTATATCCTTGGTCGTTGCGAACGAGCTCCGTAATGCCGGGGTGCCGGCTCCGATCCCACCTGCGGGACTTGCGCCTTGCGTCTTGCGTTGGTTTCAACAGTGGTGTCGAGAAGCCGACCTTCCAGAAATCAGTGGCAAATTACTGGATGCAAATTTGCGATGAAAAACAGCAACGGTCAAAAAAAAAAAAGGGCTGGGGGTTGGTTCTTCAACGTCCTGGAAAATATACGCAACTAACTATATCCTGGAATGAATTTTTGTATGGTTATTAGTTTTGTTTGAGGTTTTTATTCCTGGTCCTCTTTTATCTGGGGGAGGGGGGGGGGGGTCTGGAACGATCAAAGGGATGGCGGTTGCCTAGATGGAATTTAGAGGAGGCATTGGAATGGGGGGGGGGGAGGGTAATAGCCTCAGGAGTTGCGGGGAAAAGGGGGGGGGGGGTTTGAATAAAAAATAAGCCAACGGGGGAGGGGGGGGGTGGGAAGGTAGAGAGGAAGACACAATTGTTCTTTAGGTGTTAATAACTGTTTCAGTGTTGTTTCCTACAGAAAGTTTTCTATATATAATTTGTAGACTTTTGTATATTTAAGTAATGGCTAGTTTTGCTTGAATCTATCCAGCTGTTTGGAACCCCCCCCCCCCCCCCCCTTCAATTGTTGCCCACATTGTACACTTTTTAGGACTGTGAGGCAAGAAGCACCACTTTCAAACTAAGGATTGCTGGCTGTCTGACTAATGCAGTTGCCATGAATTGTGTATGTTAGGAAATGTGATGCTTATCTCACAGAAAAATGTCATTACCATTACTGAGGTTTTGAATCCTAATAAATGTTCAGCATAACCTCAGGTGCTCCTCTCAGAATGTCTTCTTTATTGCACAGAGTGGATCAGAAACATGTGGTCTTCTTCTTCTTCTTCTTCTCTCAGTTACGTCATCACAGTTTGGTGGGGGGAGGGGGGGGGGGGGGTTATATCTTCTCTGTGCTCTGTCTTAAACATTGTATTGTATATGTTGATCTTACATTTTTTGTTGTAAAGGTTTTTCTTGATGCAGTTATTCCATCTTTTACATGTTATTCACCTTACACTGTACTCATTATATTTCTTTATTGTAGCTTTCTGTGGCATTTGGTGCAAGACTGTTCTCGCCAGATGGACAGGCCCTCTAATCTTTTGTTCTTAAATAAAACACTTTAAAGGTTTTAATTTGAGATCTCCTGGTATAATTGTAAATTAATGGGTGTCTGGGACCGAAGGAGTTAAGGCTGAACTGAAAGAACAGAGTCTTATCTTTTTTCTACCTGTTTCATCTGTGAGTTGTGGGGGTGTGATTATGTCAGTATGTTTATTACTAACTTCCTTCCTGAAGTCATACCGTTAAGTGTGCAGATATGTAGTCTGTCTGCTGATTAATTCTGTCTGTCTGTGTGTCTGTCTCTCTCTTGTTTCTCCATCTGTGTCTCCGTCTGTCTGTCCCTCCCCTTCCTCCCCCTCCCCCTCTTGTCAGACATTTTGTGTTTAAAGCTAGTAGTTTTATTTATAACTGTTACCCCCTTTGTCCTAAAATCTCACATTAGTTCAGACTTGTATTAATATTATTTATGTTTTTCTTATACTGACTTTCATATGTTAACGTTTTTATTTTAATGCACATTTAAAAGTGATCATGATGTTTGTCAGTATTTTTTTGCTTAACTTTTCAGATAGTTTGATTTAAAAAAATATTTCTTATGATTTATGTTCCTATGAACGCACCATTTTTAATACACAATGGTACAAAGATGAAGTAAGCATCATTTTTAGTTAAGCACTACGTGAATGAAGAAAGTCATTTAGTATGTATAGTATATGGGTGTTTCTGTTGCTTGCCATTATGATTACTGTAAAAAAAAAGAATTTGTTTAGGCTCATGCTGTTGAGCATATGGTGCTGTACTTCAATTTTTAAAGACCATTTGCCACTCAATGGCTGATGTGGCAGTTACCATGATTTTACTTCCCATGAGTTTTCTAGGTTTCCATTTTAGACTGGGTCTGTATATATATATATATATTTATATAATCTACCTTGATGCTTATTTGAAATCAAGACCTTCAAAATGCCAGGCAATCGTCTAGTCATTTGCACTATGACAGCTTACCAAAATAGAATGGGCACTTATTTTATTTTGAAGATGGTTAAAAATACTGTTTTGTTTAACCTATTGTTGAATTAGAGCAGTATCTCACATTTCCTAAAGCTAACAATACTATCATTGTTTCAGTAAAATATGTAGCTAGCTGATTTCTTCAAAGCAATTACTTGGCTTACATTGTTCAATAAATCTTTTAATTTTAAAACTAGAAACTTCTTTCTCTGCATCACAGAACCAAAGAATTATGGGGTCTTAAAAGCACAAAAAGAAATGAAGAAAAGAATTAGAAAAGAATTCTGTGTCCTCTTGGGCACTATGATTAAAAATGCTTAAAGTGCCTACTTCTGTTCTGAGTTGGTGGATGTGGTGGTGGGTGGGTTGGCGGATGTGGTGGTGGTTGGATGCGGTACTGGGTGGGTTGATGTGGTACTGGGTGGGTTGATGTGGTACTGTGTGGGTTGATGTGGTACTGGGTGGGTGGATGTGGCAGTGGGTTGATGTGGTGGTGGGTGGGTGGGCGGATGTGGTGGTGGGCGGATGTGGGTGTGGTGGGTGGATGTAGTGGTGGAAAGTAATGAAAATGGTCACATTACTTAAAAAGCCTCTGTGTAGTATTTGTGGTGTTTTACATTTTACAGCAACCTGATTATCAGAATCTTTGACTTACTGACATTTTACCCATGCTGCCAGTGTTCTCTAAACACTAAGGGTCATGTGAGATTGGTGATTTGTTCACAGAGGCAACAGATTTGATCGCTACAGAACTATTATGCAGAGTCTACGTAAAAGGCTGAGTTTTCGCAAAAAGAAGGATCATGTCCCAGAGTGCTCTAAGCCCCATCAGTGGCAAGAAGACGAGAAGAAAGTCAGAGAAGGAACCTGTAGTTTTCAAGTCAGGGTGAGTGTTTCAGTTTTTTGTTTTAAATGTATATGTTTGTGTTGATCAGTATTTTTGGGGCTGATTGCTTGCAGTTTCCTTCAAGGTCAGAGGGCATCTTCCTGAGAAGTTAGGAACCAACAGTCTGCATATAAATAAGCCCAATCTGTAACACAGATGTGCATACATAACTCAAGTTCTGGAACAAGACTGAAGTCTGAATGTGAATAAACAACCAAAACTTTACACTTGAGTTTAAAGCCGGTGGACATGAAGAAGTAGAGGAATCTTGTGGTGATGTTCTACATGTATTTGTAAATTGCTTGTTATGTATATTGTGCTCTTTTTTGTGTAGCCTCAGTGAAGCTGTCGTCATTATTGCTGTAAACAGTTTCACATATGGAAGCACAAATACATCCAAGCAGTGAAGGCAGCCCCTTTATTGAAATAAGTTAAGGCATAAATTGTCAGTTAAGCACAAAACACTGAATTGAAAACCTTCATATAAAAGCACAGATAGGAGGCCAGAAAAAATGCCCAGAACCAAGAAATAGGTCTGTCTCTACTACCTGAATTTCTCACACGTTTGTTTTTAGTGTGATGTAGGGCAGGAAGTTCTAACTGCAGGAAACCAGGTAACAGATGCAGAGAGAATGAAACATGTGATCCTGCAAGAAAGACAACCTCCCTCCCTCTTCCCCACTCTCCTTCCACACACAAAAAGATGATGATAAAAAAAAATCATCATTATCTTCATCTAGGACTTGCCGACTGGCATGGATGATCATGCTTCTGTATATTTTGTGATCTACATTAGCATGTAACAGTGTTCACATCATGAGAAAAAGACACCCTGCAAATTAATAAAGTAAGTGAAACATCAGAAGAACAATTAAATTTGATAACATTATACTTAACAGCCTATAACAAGAATAATAAGAACACTGGAAGAAGAAGAATAACAACAATAAATATCTTGACAATGAAAAGAAGATTGAATGGGATAACACACATAGCTCAGGAAAGAAGCCAAAAAGTGTACAGAAAAGAGGAGCTGATGAACACAGGATAATGTTTGGCTTTTGGTTTGTTTGATATTTTTGCTGTCCCCTGCCTACAAGCAGTGTTTGAAGGCTGATCTTGTTAAAATGTCACAGTGAGCCTGCGGCTGATATTGACAAAGAATGGGAATTTGCAGGATTTCTTGAATGTTAGAAATAATGAGGCAGGATGACTGGCTGCATTGGGTCACATGATTGAAATCCCTGTGTGGGCTCCAGTGCCCCATTGGAGATGAAACCAAAAAAAAAAAAAGGGGGGGGGGGGGGGTGTTTAAAGAAAAAAGACCCATTGTCCATTAACCAGTGTGTGGCAAAAAGTGACTAATTAAGGTTTTACTTTTCCATGTGGGTTTTGGAGCTCCCAGTGTGTGGAAAACGAGAATAAACTCACTCCCTCCCCAACAAGTATGTCGTAAGAGTCGACTATTTGGGGGTTTCCTTCGAAGTCAGAGTGCATCTGCCTGAGAGGTAAGAAACCAACAGTCTGCATAGAGATGAGTCAGTTCTGTAAAATGAATGTGCACACAACACTCTGGTTCTGGAACAAGTCAAAGAAGAAGACGTTTTTGCTGAAATCACAATGTGTTTGGCTGAAACACGATGCAGATACAGCAGCCTGGCTGTAAACCACTGCTGTAATGTGATGTACAGCAAAAGAAAACGTGTAATTTTGTTGTAGTAGGACTGAATAGGATTTATTCTGGTTCTTCTATCATCATATTGGTGTGGCCATTTCTGTGTTTAACCTTTCCTCCAATAAATCTTTTGCATCCATGTCAGCTCTAGTCCACCCTAAAATGATATAACCTCCTTCTGCTTTTTTATCCCCATTGAACCAAAGGATATCAACCAAATCTAGCTAAATTAACCTTTTCTTTGCAATCTCCTGTAGCTACCTCACGTTATTCATGTCGCTGTTTCTCTCCAAAAGTTCAACAATTTGTTTTTCAAATATTCCCTCTATTGTGCACATCAGTTAATGAAGGTATATAGTTTATTAATTGTTTTAGTCATTATTTTATAATCCCTATCTCGGTTCTGGGGTCCCATTTTGGTGGGACAAATAAAACCCATTGCCCTTTATGAAGCATGTTGTAAAAGGCAACGGCTTAGGAGTTTGCTAAAATTGGAACTGTTGGGTTGAAGGCACACATATTGCAGTCTAGTTGTAGATCACAACACTGTGTGCCAAGTGCCCTTTCAGTTGTGAACGTGGAAGAAGAAGAAGAAGTTAAATGGCAAGAAATCAGATTCAAGAAAAAGAAAAATAACAGTTTCCTAGCTGGGGGTTTACATGCACATTTTGTTATTACTGGTATCTTTCTTTGAAGATATTGTATTTAAACAGAAACACACAGTTCAGTTAAATTGTTCAATATATTAGTAATGTTTGAAGACTAGACTTCTCTGATGATATTTCTCTTCTGTCTCACTTTTAGGAATCTGATGCAGTGTAAATTAAAAATATACTTGACGTGAGATCACAGCAGCTAGGTATGAAAATCCACAAGAAAAAGACAAAGATAAATGAGAATAAATCAGGCAAATAGAAATGTGGTTTCTCTAAATTGTACCCCGCTCCAAGACTTGGAGTCCTACACCAATTTTGGCAGTAATGATGATAGAGATTGGTGATAGAGATATTAGAATGTGAATACAAAAGGCAAGAGAAGCTTTTATAGCACTAGGAAATTTGTGGAGGTGAGAAGAAATTAAAACTAATACTAAAACCTAAAATTTTTAAACTGATGTCAAATCAGCACTGTTGTATGGAGCAGAAATATGGAGAACAACTAAGGAAATTACAACAAACTACAAAGATTCTTTAAATGGTGCCTGCACAGAATAGAGGGACTTAACTGGTATGATAGAATCACTAATTTAGAGCTTTGGGAGAGAACTAAACACGCTCCAGTGGACCAAGTGGTGAAGAAAAGACGCAAATAGGACACACATTGAGAAAACTTGACAACAAAATAACTTGAATGTCTTTGCACTACAGGGGCATAGAAATAAAGACCCAAAGAAAAAAACATGATGAAGGAGGTTAGAGAGTGGAGTTGAAAAGATGGGGAGGACCTGGGGAGAGGTGCATGCAATAGTGAAGGATAGAACAACTTGGCGGACATAGGTTAAGGGCACCATTGGTGGTTAGAAAGCAGAAGGATCAGAATGTTTGAAGAGCCTTAAACAGCAAAGTTAACACAGTCGTATTTCATTATTATTAAATACCACCAAATTTATTGAATGATATGTACAAAAGCTCTTGTCTTTTTTAAATTTTCAATCAGTACCTAGGTTACATTGAAGTATTTGATTCGAGGGGAATGCATATCTGTGAAGAAGCTGTCAAGACACTGAAATCAGTAAGTTTATTCACTTGCTTTAGTGAACAATCATTTTTCATACCATATCAGAAGAAGACGAACTACATTCTTTGGTCACATCATGAAAAGGAGAAAACGTGTATGTATCATGATGGCAGGAAATTGGAATGATGATGTTGTTGAATTTGGTGGATATTCAACATTCAGCATTGAGACAGAAGGCTACAAATGCCTCATGCTATCGACTATAAGTAGAAGAATAAGTGTTCTGATAAATACTTTATATGATTTCGTGTTGGACATTTCTGTCCTTTTATATACCCAAGTGATAAACATTTTAGGCAACTTCTGCCTTTGTTTCCTGTTGTTAGTCTAGTGCAGGCTTTTCAGCTGCCGGCCCATGGTCCAGATCTGGTCATATAGACTAGAAAGTGGTGCACAGGTCATTACCATTTGTACTGACTGTATAATTGATTTTTCTATGCTGGGACTTAAGCCTCTGACCTGTGATGATCCCCTTTTCAAAATGTTCCCCCCCCCCCCCCCCCCCCCCCCCCCCCCCCCCCCCCCCCCCCACCCCCACCCCCCCCCCCCCCCCCCCCCTTTCCCCCCCCCCCCTCCCCCCCCCCCCCTCCCTGAGTAAACTTGGTTAAATAGCCATGCTCTAGTGCCTTCTTATCCCTGTACATTTCTGTTTGATGTTCTAGTCATTTTTGTTGCTTAGATTTCTGTTACTGTTTCCTTGACTTCTGGCTAAAAAAAGCGAAAGCTACAGGTTCACTCGTACTGGACAAGGGAGATATTCTGAAGACCATATATGAACGACTTGTGGCAGAAGACACAAGATTAGATAAAAAACATGGGCAAGAATGTGTGAACAAGGAATTAAGTGTGGATCCGGCAAGGAGGTACGGATGAGAGGAAGAGATCGGCGAATGCATAATCAGTGTGCTACAGGAACAGTTAGCATCTACACCTAATTTCATTTGCTGCGGGAGACAGAGCATCTATGGGTTTGCCCGATGTGCTGTGATGTTGATTCTTAAATCAGTAATTTACTTCTCCAGCCAGAGTTTTGAGTATGTTAATATTTGGATGATGTCCAAATTTATATGAGACAAGGTTATTGTGTGGTGATAATTTTCTGTCACACTTTCTGTCAGTCCTTAATGGCTTTACTGAAACCCCATTTTTACATTTAGAGCTGTCTTAGTTACTTTTTGAGTCCTAGGGTTAAGCATCACAAGCCAAAGGGGCGGTAAAGAGTGACATAAAAACCAGTGCATCATGCATTCATTAGGCTTCTAGGTAGGAACCTATGAAGATATAATGCGTTTCTTAGGACTCAAAGAGTTAAGGCAAGAACATATGCCTCTTCTATATATAGGTTTGTTTCCAGTTTTTGTAAAAGTTGTTAGTAATTTGTATATTGTCTTTATTGTTTTTATAGTCATTTGTTTTCTTTTCCATTCATTAGCAATGTAAAGGCAAATACCAGAGAGCTGTACTGTATGTCTCTGGAGATGCCCTGAGAGTTGTTGATGAGATCAGCAAGGTAGGGATTGTGATTTTCACATAACATACATGCACATGATACAGTAGTAATATCTTAGAATAACATATATGCACAGGATACAGTTTAATAGCTTAAAATGTACTTGATCTGAAACAGCTATGGCACATTTTGGTAATAGGAACAGGGAGAAAAAAGAAGGTGGGGGAGGGCGTCCTTGAATATGAAGAGAACAGAATCACTGTTTGTGTAAAAGAGAAAAAGATAACACAGAAATGTTATATTTAAAAATAGAAGGAAAAACGATTCAGTCTTATAATTCAAATGTTTTCTGGGCACTTGAGGTGTCTGGGGCTAGAAGCTTTTTTTTATAGACCAACCAGAGCTTGATGGTTGATGTGATAATTATCTTGCCAGTTGACTTTTCTTGCCAGAATATTTCTAGTGTTCATTTTCCACTATTTCTGTTTAAACAGCGATCACTATCATGACACAAGGTTGGTAACCTAGAAGTGCTTCGTTTTACTTCTAACTCAAGCCTGAGTCATAAAATCTCAACGCAGCGCACGAACTCCGCAGCACCGACGAGGATTCAAATACTTTGGGTAGATTTTAAACTCCAGATTTTTGCCCGGGCAGCACCTTTAGGCTACTCTTTTTGATTTTTAACTGCCAAGGGATTTTTACCTGCGCATAAATACACACGGGCGTCTCATCTGACTACCCAGAGACCAGGATAAGTTACTATAAGTCCACACGTACAAATTCCAGCCATTCTTGGGGCCTGAACCTGAAATCTCCAGCACTCGAGGTGGACACCATGCCCTGAAACCACTCAGCCCCCATTTGAGACTGAGTCAACCTGGGAGCCCAGATGAACTTGAGATGGATTTGAAAGCATGACTGCCTCCTGGTTTTGGGAGCAAAAATTGTCATATTCAACCAGCATTCCTGAAGGGTGAGCTTTAGGTTATAATTGTGACTAGGTAATATGGGTCACATAAATTGGCTTAGCATTGCTTGCCACCAAGAGCCCTGAACAGGACTCCTATAGTGTTGATGCAATCAGAGGAGACAGACCCAAATACTGTCCTGACCTGTGATGGTAATCTACTGGTGAGCCACTGGGCAACCCGGTCGCAGATGAATGCGTGACTGCCAACTCAGTGAGCAAGCCTAGTAGCCACTGAGTCATTGCAGCTCCCACCATGTTCCTACAAAGCCCACAGAATATCACAGTGGTGAAATAATTTCCACAATGATACTGTAAACGTGAACTTTATTTTCAGACGGTTAAGAACTAGACATGAAGCCTGTCTAACATTCTGCCCTTTTGGTCTCTCTCATTTTATACATTATATTATTAATATATTTGTAACAGGTAATAATAGACATCATTGACAACAACTAAACATTAATTACAAATGCTGAAATTAGCTGTAATTATACCTACACTTCTGAACAATGATAATTATTAGTATAATAATTGTAAATACGCTTGTTCATGAGGAAAGAAGGGTTGGAAACCACCTTTGATAACTAGAATCAGACAAGAGCAAGCAACTAAAAAAGTTTGATAAGATGTTTTGGTATCCAGATTCATTTTGTGATTTGTGGATCTTTTATTGAATTATCTTCCAGAGTATGATTGTGGACCAGACTATAGAGAAGGTATCATTCTGTGCACCTGATCGCAACCACGAGAAAGGTTTTGCATACATCTGCAGAGATGGAACCACGAGACGTTGGATGTGTCATGGGTTTCTTGCCGTCAAAGAATCTGTAAGTGTTGTCAGTTTGGTTTCTGCATGTTATAAATGTATCACTTTTGTTTAAAAAAAAATATTTTTTCAAAGGTACACACTGTATAAAACCTTTTTATTTGTCTTGTTCTTTGTCAGAGGTAGACACTGCATTAACCCTTTTTTTATTTTTTCTTGTGACAGAGTTACACACTGCAATAGTCCTTTGTAGTTTTCTTTCTCTATGTCAGAAGTTAAACTCAGTTTCATAATTTCATGTTCAGTTCATCTTCTACTGAATTGGCCTAGCAGCTGGTCCGCAGATCATTGCATTTGTATCTTTTTAATGATCTGTCTGTGCTGGGGATTGGGCTTGTGATGATCCCCATTTTTAAAAGGTTGGCCCCTGAGTAAACTTTGTTGACTAGCCCTGCTTTATAGGATGTTGCAGAACTAACCGCAGCATTTATTGCCTGTCTGGTTTTACTAGGTAATTTTATGTTCAGTAGTTTATTGTTGCCTCCTGAACGATTATCTGTCAATAGCATTATTGCAAGTCATTGCAAAGTGGTGTACAACATTTGCAGTGTCATTAAAGAGGATATGCAAGTAACTTAGTCATCATCACTCCACTCATCTGTAATTTCTTCTAATTGAAACTGTGTTTAAAAAGTCTTCACTTTGAATATTTTCTAGTGCATGCAGTACTTTTTTATGAAGTTTTGGCACCTTTCCATATGTCTAGACTGTATTGTTACATTACGCTGTAGGTAGGCCTGGGAACCACAGCTCATGGTGATGACGAGTGGGACTAGAAGATCAACTCACTTGAAGTCTTCCACAATAAATGCATGGGGTGTCAGGACAGTTGTTGCCATAGCATGTCAGCGTGTTTCTTTTCAAACTCTGCTCTTAATTTTCTATTTTTCTTCTTATTCTCTTCCTTGATTTTTCATCTCCTTACCACGCTGTTCCTAGCTTTCTATTTATATGAATTCATCTTAATACTTATATAATTTATGTACAGCTTGCATGTATCTTTATATCGTAGAAGAGACCACCCACAAGATCTCCTACCTATAATTCACCCTAAATGTTATTCAGTAGACATTAGTTCAGATATAGTTGTCATAGCTGGTAACAGGAACATTTTTGTTTGGCACACAGAACAATTGTTTTAAACATTACAAATTCATTAATAGGCAAGGGCATCTTCATGTTTTATCTAATGTTATATATATGTGAGACATGGACAGTATGCATGTAAGCTGACATTTTTACTTGCAGCAGAGATGTGGTTTTTGAGAATGATGCAGAAAATATCATTGAATAATAGAAAAACAGATGAAGCATAGGTTTACAGGTTTTCTTTTTAGTGATGAAGAGAAACTATTTTAAAATTTATTAACTCTTTTGCCCTGTGATTGCTTTAAAAAAAAAAAAAAGGCAGTCACACAATTTATAGAAAAATCCTTTTTACAAAAAATGTGTGCACCGATACTAATAAATTGTTTAAAAATAATTATAATTTTGTTAAATGTTTTTAAAATTTTGTTTTGATATATATATATATATATATATATAGATATATATATATATATATATATATATATATATATATATATATATATATATATATATATATATATATATATATATATATATATATATATATACTATATATATATATATATATATATATGATGTAATCAGTAAACAAGAACAGTGTGAAGCAGTATAATGAATGCATTCCTGAGATCTAAAACAAATCTGTTGTTACTTTTGTTCTGACACTGTGACCTCTATCACTGATTCTTATGGGAATATTTTAAGTCAACCTGACTTTAACTCTACCAGACCTGACGCCCTGAACCTAACTCTCCCTATAACCTGAGCTCCGGGGCATTACCCCGAAAAAAACCAACATAACATACAAAAATACTAGTTATATGCAAACGAATGGCTAGAATATGATGAAACTTGGAGACATTGTAGAAAATAGGCTTAACTTTTATCTAGCGCCAATATTCCACCTTTGTGTGCAAATCCACTCATCAGGATCAACTTTGTTTCACAAAGTGAACACCAGATGTTGCCGTTTGAGGGACACACCCTCTTCTCCTACTATCGATCTATTTTAAGATTGATAATTTTCAAGATTTTCCTCATCATTCACGCTCTCACTGACAGTGTCACTTTAAGAACGTATTCTTTATGAAATTATCACTCCACAGAGTCTGAATAAACCAAAGTATTGATCACCTGTTGGACTGTGAAATGCCTAGAACTTGATTTATCAACCGCTCGTTTCATTATGAATTTTCAGAATTTTTCCACCTAAAACAACACAAATATAATCCAAACACATGCGGGCAGACATTTGCAATGTCTAACAAAGAGGACTGATAACGATTGGGTTGTTATTTTTAGTCCGTGATGCATCTTTTCCCCGTACTACGCAAAAAGCCGAAAATTAGGGCCAGCGGTATAGCGTCAGGTTAAGAAATTCCCGGAAAACTGGGCCATTGGTCTGGTAGGGTAAAAGAAACAATTGGAATTACAAGGAAGCCCTCTAAATGCTATATTTAGTAAATATTTTCACATCTGGGCCTCCTAAACATTACACAGGTGCACATAGAACCTTCTTTATCTTAAAAGTCCATGCCATGTGGCAGTAGTAATTATGTCTATCCACAACCTTTTGTCTCATTTACATTCATCCAACTCTGATGCAGATGGTCCTCCTTGACATGTCGTCAGATTGTCCAGCATCTTTTCTCTTGGTCGCTATAAATTGCTATTCTTTCACAAGCGTATATGCACTTGGCACATTTATATCTAAACAAATGGTCTCTGACTGTGTCTGTTGATGGGACACTGTAACTTATATCTGAACAAATAGTCTCTGACTGTGACTGTTGATGGGACACTGTACTTGAAGAGATTACAATATATGCATGTGATGGCAGTAATTCTTAGTATGTACACAGTGATGGCCTGAGTTAGCGTGAGCCATTGTCGCTAGACATTTGCCTGTTGGTCTGTAGATCTTGAGTTTAAATCCGCATCAAGGCTAATGTTTTTTTTATAAATATTCTGGGCTTCCTGGCCTAAAATGGGTACCAGAAAATATCCTTGATGTTGACCACATCACCTATTAAGTGCCAGTTGTGACAGTCTGGGTTTATAAACATCTGCCTGATGTGCTAATTGGGAGGGAAAAGTCATTTTTATACTTTTAACTGAGTTGTCTATAATGCAGTATAATTTCAACAGGTCAATTTGACCTGAATTTGGTACCAGGAAATATTCTTGGCAGTAAAAGCAGCCTTCTATGGTGAATTACACATGATGTTTAAGCTGGCCTCTACTACAATATAAAGATGTTTGCATGCAATCGAGACACGAATGTCGCCACTCAGTTCGTTCCTGAGCCATCATCTCTATCTCCAGTTTTGTTCTCCATGTAGCCTTGAGTTCAGCCTCAAAGGCTTGCCTCCAAGTGCCTCTGGGCCTGCCTATTCCTCGCTGTCCTTGTGACGTCTGTATCATTACCTGTCTTTTCCGTCACTCTTTCTTCATTCTGAGGACGTGTCCAGTTCATCTATTTGTTTTTTGATTTAAAGGGGGCAAATTAGGAAGGGAACGAGAACAAAGGGGGGGGGGGGGGGGGGAAGGATTGCAGGAAGAATGTGAGAGCTCAGCATCTGAGAAGAAGCATACCAAGTATATGTAATAGCAACAACAGTTCTGAAATTCCACGCTGTAATTGTGGATGAGTTTTCTTAATCAGGCAAGGTCTCGCTAGTCACACCTGCCACCGCCATGGGCAGTGAGTACCCCATCTCTTCATAGCGCAGTGTAATACTATCATCCGGAAAGGTGCAAACAAAAGGCAGCCTATGTGATGTTGACAACATCATGAATCAACTGCCATTTGTAAAAGTTTGGATCCCTAAAACATATACCTCATGCGCCAGTGGGAAGGGAAAAGTCACATTTGTACTTTTGACTGTGATGTCTGTACTGCATTGTTATTTCTACTTGGATGATGCTTCATTTGTGCTTCATTACTGCGTATTTACTTAAATCTCACAAAATCATGAAGAAGAATGATGCAGTGTGTGTTAGTAAATTATGTGTATTGATTTCTTTTGCATTGTTTCTTTCTTATGCTGCAGATGAATGACACTTGCATGGTTATTATTACATTTTTGTTGTCTCTCTTGCACATACATATATGTCCGCATAACATAGAAACGTTTTAAGTTTTGCCTCTTTCACTAAAACTCAGTTATGAGCACACAGTTTTACTGATCAGAAAGAATTCTTGTTTGGCAAATTTCTTGCCTACTATAACTATAAGCAAATATGTGCTAAGAATATTTTTACCAGGATGTGTTGTAGCTGGGTGGCTAGAGGCTTACCTACTAGCCCAAGTTTCTTGAGTTTGAAGCTGCATCAGTGTGGATTTTGTAAAATGTCCTGATCTCACAGGTACGGCTGGTGCCATTAGAATTGGAACTGTGCGTTTGCTGCTGAGGATGGGAACGAAGCACTTATGAGAATGTTCTGAGTGCTGTGATGTTGAATCTCAATTCAGCATTCCACCTCCTACGTAGGCTCTGTCACAAATGGCTATCAGGAAATGTCATCGCAAGCAAAGGTGGCCACATCAAGTGCCAGTTGGTCTATTAAAAAACCGATCTAGCTCATATGCTCGGTACACCATTCTTGTAAAAAGGAACCTTTACGTTTAAAAAACAATTTCCTGTATAAAGTCAACATTTGTCCACATCACATCCCCTTTGCTACTGCTTGCGATCTGTTGGCTGTCACTGTCAGTGTATTAGTGTACAAACAGCCACATACATTCACACAAGAAGTTGACACTTCTGGTTTGATCCCATTCACTGTAGTTGTCACTTGTCCTGCTTGTTTGTAGTGATCAGTTCACGTGATGCATAGTTAATGCTATTGGCTGAGTTCACACCTGTGCAAATGTTAGGGGGTTATGATATGAATACAAAAAAAAATATC